CAACAATAATTATCTTTATTTTATACTTACTATTAGGTCTTTACCTATGAAATTTCCGTTTTGTATGCAATAAGTGAAAGTACTTATTTTTTTAAACTTTTTTATTTCTGTTATTCGAAGTAATCACCCATGCAATCGACGCATCTTTGCCAACGCATTGGCAGTTTATTGATGCCCTTCTTGTAAAAATCAGCTGGACGGGAGGCAACAAACTCTTCAAAGGCATTTTGTACTGCCTCTCGGGAATTGAATTTTTGCATACAAAACGGCAATTTCATAGGTAAAGACCTATTATTTTGTACTTCCTTTTAAACTAAATTTTGTAAACCTTTGTGACGCAGTTTTTAAGGCCAGCTCATTATAGTATAATTATGTAAAACAAAGGCATAATTCTAGGCCTTAGATCAAACATCTATGCTGGTTTAAACAGTGATCAGAGAATTTAAAAAAATAAAGTACTTGATACCATGTTCTATATCCAAGACTGTACGTATTCGTAAAAGCTCCGAATTACATAATTACTTAACATAGTATTCACATTTTGTTAACACAAAGGGCTTCTAGAGGGTTTATTATTTGTAACATAATCCTAGTTTAGAAAAACAAAACGGGTAAAACAATATTTGTTAAATTTTAGAGTGCAAAATAACTTGAAAAAAAAAAACTTTCTAGCATACTTATATTATGTGAATTTTATCTAAAACAAAATATCCTGCGTGATAATATTTAAGACACCGTTGAAAGAGTTCGGATAAAAGTAATCTGTTTAAAGACCTAAGAATATACCCTTAAACATAACGATCAAGATTCGAGAAACATTCATTATGCAGTTGTAGTAAATGTCGCGATTTTGATGTCTTCTATACATATAAATAAACTCTACGTGAAAAGTCTGCTGTCACCAGATTTTTTTATCATCGATAAAGTCTGGCAGAAGTTTAATTTCACAAAAAGAAAGATTGATGTCATGACTTGTCATTACATAATTACGAGTATATTATTATGAAGTACAGTGCTGCATATGTAAGTGATCAAGTCGACTGGTAGCTCTGTTACCGCATCAGAGAAGAACCAATTTCCATTTGGAATGCTGTACTTAGTAGAAACAAGCATAAATTGTATGTGGGCTTAGCCAGTACATTCATAGTTCAGTAGGACTCTTGGACCTGGGGCTAATTCAATAGACATGTACCTCAATAATTAATGTTAATTATTAAGGGACATGTCTACAAAATTAACCAAAGGTAAAACTCTAATGTGGTGACGGATTAAGAATACGAAATGTCACCACCCCTATTCATCCCGTGGGTATCGTAAGGGAACTATCTGCACAGGACAACAGCTCAGCAAAAAGAAGGAAAACTTGAAACAAATCCTATACCAACCCGCCTGGCCAGCGTGGTATAGTAGGCCAAAACCTCCTTTCTAAGGAGAGACCTATGTCCAGCTGTGGACTATTATAGGCTGTTGATGATGATTGATGAAAACACTAATAAGTGTATTATCAAGTTGTAAATTATTGTTAGAGGATCTAGGGTCTTCAACAATGTAATAGTGACCAGCTTTACCAGCGACTAGGCTAACTTGAATGTAAATTTTGTCAACCAATTCAAAGTAGGTACTGTTTTCTTAATGAATTCTGCAACATTGATAACGTGTTTGCAACATTTCGCAATGATCAGTTGAGCAGTATATGCGTGGAGATGTAACAAACAAAAAAGTCACATTTACGTTTATAAAATTTAAATTCAACATCCATCCATACTGTCAAACTTTAGCATGAATTTGAAAGAAATAAAATAGGTCCAATAAATAAAATTATGTCATTCTGAAAACTCAGATGTCAGTAATTAAAAAAATATTTATGTACATGATTGTACCATTTTGGAAATGAACAAGATTGGATGCAGGGGCATTATTTATTGGCTGTCTGTCACATGATGATGAATAACGAATTAATTTTTTGCATATGTATGTACTGTATGACAACTTTCTATAATGCCATATGCAGTCGATTGTGATGTTAATGAATTAATTATTAAACACTCGCTATTTTGGAGTCAGAGTTTTCACTTTTAAATTGAAATTATTTACATACGATTTTAGTATGAAAGTGTATAAGCTGTAGCCTCAAAACATATTGTTTTAATTTTTGATACCTACGGGGTAAATAAAATGTCATGCATACAGAAATCAATGTTGAAATACATTTATGAGTGAAACCGTACCCTTATTAAAAATACGACTTAATTTTAATATTTTATTTTAGTTTTTAAGCATAAAAATAGTTACTAGACAGCAAGGCTCCATAAATTAAGTGGCGATCAACAGTTCGGCCATTTCAGAATGAGCCAAGGTCTATGAAGGTCAAGCAATAGAAATACGCAGAGATGATCAATAATAATTTCACTCTGACAGGATTTCTAGTTCCGATGAACCATTCATTGAGCAAACGCCCGAACTTGGACTCTGCATGTTGATCCTTTGACTGGCTTCATAACACGCCTATACAATGGGCACTCACAATGAGGGACTTGACAACATATAGCGAAACCACAGTGTGATCCTTCTTACAGCCCGGATTGGGCAGTGAATAGATTTCGGTATTCCTGAATTAAAGTGATACATTTTTAATAGCTTAGTTCAAACAGTAAGTGAAATAAATGAGAAGCATTGGAAAAAGTTTATTGGTCTTCGCCCATGACTGCAGTTAGGACCAGACGCTGCAACGCCCAAGCTGGGCAAATTGTGCTGAGCTTAGTCCTCATTGTAGTCCCCGTATCACAGGCACTTCCCGAAGGAGCCGTGCTTGGAAAGGATCTGCGGCAGTTGAAAGGATGGGTACCCGTGCCTCCGCCCGGACGATGATAATCGGATAGAGCGCATCCACGGCGGCAAAACCAGCCGGTTGATCAATAAGAGTTTCTTTTGATATTAATTTATAAACATTCTATTTACCAAGACTTAGGCTTTATTCTATTTCAAATTTTAAAATAAATTAAGTGATTACTGATATAAGTTTTTGTTGATAAATATCGTCCACCATAATCCTCGATCTTCTTGTGGGGAGAGGAAGGAGTCGAAAGCCAATATTCTTCCGAAAGAGGTTTGATCTTATCGTGGGTCCATTACATCGTGGCCTCTACTGATTAGTACAAATGATGTATCTAAGAAAACTTAAAAAAAATTAGTACTGGTAGAACTTGACTCAGACCTTTGAAAGAAGTTAGTCTGTAAAGCAATATAATCGTTCTGTGATGGGTGCAATTAACATCTATTTTTGTTAGAAAGTCATTACAAGATTACGAAACAAACTGTCACAATATTGTCTTATTATAGGAGCCTTATCGCTAGTCACTATTATAGATAATTAAAAATTACACGGTGACTAGCGTTCAGAAAACTATTTAAGCATTTCATATTGAAACCTTGCATTATATTTAAATTTTGAATTGAAAGTTATGGACAAGTTTATATTTTACTGCAGTTTGTTGGCTGTGATTACGGGCCAGGGTAAGGTTATTCTTCCATAAATAGGTTTTCTCTGTAGAAGAAGCATTGATTTGCACCACGTTGAAACTGCTCACTTAAACCACAGTTCGCTACATACGTTTTCCTGGTCGGAATTGTTTTGCCAATATTTTTCTCTAATACTAAGATAAAAAAAATTATACATATACATCATGTTAAATTACTTTTTGCAGAGTGGTTTTCTCCTCTCAGCCTCAAAGAGCTAATTATGTTCATGTTCACGTGAGTGATACCACGGCCTCACAGAACACCTGTGTTAAGCAGTTTTCTCGTTGTTTTTCACCGAGTGAGTGAGGTTGCCGGAGCCCAAACCCCCCTTCTCCTGATTCTGAGGAGAGGGACTCAAAAGACAGATACGCACTTGTGTCTCTTGAGTTGTAGGTGTCCACAGGCGGCGGTAGTCACTTACCATCAAGTGACTCATCTGCTGGTTTGGTCCCTATACCATAAAATAATACATTTTTTCAATTATTTATTTTATTTATTTATTTATGACTTCATGCACAAATGTATACATCGGCCGTCTTAATGCCTAAGGCATTCTCTGCCGGTCGACCGATTGAGCTATGCAGAGTAGGAATGAGGTAGGTGCACCTATATACTATGGAATCCTTATTTAGTGCCTACTATTTGTTTTTCGAACAGAAAAAAATATACACATTAATATATACATATACTATTACAATGCATACTGTTATCATTTAGAGATACAACTTTAACCTTGTTTAATCAATACGTTGATTCTGAGCGAATGTGGCTAGAACTTCGTCTGTCATGTTTTCAAATTATGGCTTTCCCTACAGTCTCAAAAATGTTACCAGTCCAAAAGAAATCTAATCCACAAACTCATAAACTTCCTTACTTATCGTTTGTTCACTAATTATTATAAAATTATTTTTGATACTACCTTTTAGGTGTTTGGTGTAAAGGTCATCGCAAATATAAACATAGAGACAATAATGAAGTCAAAATAGTCGGGGGTAACGAAACCACCATTGAAACACATCCATATCAAGCGTATTTATTACTATACGATGGCAGTGATTATTACCAATGTGGTGGATCTATTGTTAGTAGAAACCATATAGTTACAGCCGCCCATTGCTTGACCAGGTAGGTGCTGAGAAGAAATTATTTTTCTTGGACTAATAATTGAAATATCAGGTAAACTGTACCTTCTGCAGTTACTGTTTGAATGTCTGACAGATTTTTCTGTCTTATTAATCTCTGGGATCTATAGGCGTAAATCGTGAGTTTTTTGTTTCTAAACGCTATCATGAATTACATATTCAATGGATCCTCATAAAATTTTGAAGCGCTATAGTCAGGGGTAACAGAAAAGCGTATAGAGTACCTTTTATACAGAAAAGGATCTGTTGCCAAGAAATAGTTAACGAACAGTTTTAAAGCTGATTTTTTAATATCTGTTTAAAAAAAAATCTTATGTCGAGTTTTTAAAATTTGTCAGAATGCAAATAATATATGTTAGAATTGGCAGTACGAATTCATCATCTGGAGGTACTCAGTATCAGGCTACGTCATTCTACGCCCACCCTGGCTATAATAGCCGAACAAGTGATTACGACGCTGGTGTGGTGAGAATACGAGGGGGAATGAACTTGGATGGAACTAACGCTAGAGCTATACCTCTGGTTAATGTGGGTTATGATCCGAAAGAGGGAGCTGAAGTGATTCTCACTGGTTGGGGTGCTACTTCCGTAAGTCGTTCTTTTTTTTCTGTTTCTAATCTCTTTCAGAAAAGAGGTTTTTAAGAAGTCCATTCAAGTATTTTTAAAGTTAATGTAATCAGTGTTAATGTTAGTGTAATTTGGTATAAAATGTTATGATAGGTATACATAAGTCCAGTTGCACCAAAAGCGCGTCACGCTTTTAAATAAATAAAAAATCTTTATAATTTTATCTGAATACAATAGCAGAAGTATAAATCATAATGGTTGCAATTAAACGAAATTCAAAAATATTTTTGCAGCAAAACGGCAGCACTAGTAATACTTTGATGGTAGTTCAAGTACCTGTTGTTTCTCGAACGCAATGCAATGAAATCTTGAGGAACAGTATCACTAATAGAATGTTTTGCGCTGGGCTCAATGAAGGTGGGAAGGACACGTGTCAGGTAAACAGTACATTAGAGTTTATACTAGTATATAGTGTACTTGCTATTGTCCGTGGCTTCGCCCGCGTGTATGTCTGTTATCGCGGTAAAAAGTAACCAATGTTACTCGCTGAAAATGTAGCTTTCCGTTGATGTCTTTTTTTTAAATCGGTTTAGTGCTTCAGGCGTGAAGGCGTAACAAAGAAATAAACAGAAAAACTCACTTTTTTTAAAGTGTCAGTGATGGTATTTTTTCTTAAAAATTTAATGAGGCCAAATGGCCCAAACGCTTAATTAAAAAAATTCAAAACGGTATTCTGGAAGATAGTTAAAGAACTTTTGCTTTTGAAGGGCTTTGCAATTTGTAATATAATAAAGAAAAATATCAACCATAGTCATGTTAACCACTTTAAACTCTACCTTATTACGGTTGTAAAGGCTAGTTTTTCTTAAGATTTGACTTTTCGTTATCATTTAGTTTGAATATATTTACTATTACTGTACTTTTACCTATGCTTGCTGCATATAAAGATGAGTAAAATAACTATTTTAAATATACATCACATCAACAGCCTTTAATAGTACACTGCTGGATATAGGCCTCTCCTTAGAAAGGAGGTTTTGGCCTACTATACCACGCTAGCCATACGGGTTGGTATTGGGTTTGTGTCAAGTTTTCCTTCTTATTGCAGTGCTGGTGCCATGCGTTGTTTTACGCCCTTAGTCGGCTCTTACGACACCCACGGGATGAATTGGGGTAGTGACATTCGTATTCTTAATCCGTCACTACACGGACAGTAAATATACATAATAATATATATTTTTATATTTTGCGTGTATTGAGATTAATATAAAAGAAAGTATGAAAATAAAATTAGGTTTTTCATTTTGGATATTGTATTTATTCATTCAATTTTTTTAATAATTGAGATAATCGCTATTTTAAATTAACTTATTTTACCATTTTCGTAACTAAAAGCTAAGCTATCTTCCCAGAGCCTTAGCAAAGACTTTCTAATTACCAAGGAGTATAATATAATATACAACAGAAACATTACTAGAACCAATTGACCATATCAATCTGCTTATTAAACTTATAACCAATACTTGTGTTATAAATTAAGTCGCAATTTTTAGGGGGATTCCGGTGGTCCTGCTGTGACCAGTTCATCTAACAGGCTAGCAGGCATAACCTGTTTCGGTTTTGGATGTGCTCAACCCGATTCACCTGGAGTATACACCCTTGTTGGTAATGCAGAAGTGAGATCATTCATAAAGATGCACACGGGTGTTTAAAAATAACATTTTACGTATATTTTGAAGTTAGTTATGGAGAAAATAGTAAAGGCACTCTGTATATACTCTGTAGTTTTAATTTTTGTGACAGTTTTTTTTTCTGTGCGGAAATCCGCTTGGATACCATCTACCGGACAACCGGTGAGATGGTTATGTCGGACTCGACCGACTAAAAACCGAAAACCGTCTCGGGTACCAGTAGCCAGGGAACCAGGTATACCCTAGAAGGAAATCTCTGGTACCCTGACGGACTCGGGGCCATTTACGGTTTGTATGTAATTTTTATGGGAATTACATTAAAATACAGGTTGATTGATCTAAAATATTGAGTGTTCCGATTGAGATTATCTTGTAAGTAAATATATACAAGACACCAATGAAGGGTGTGTTTTTTTGTAAAAGTAAATATATTTTGTTGGCTTTTGCTATCTTGATCTTTGATAAAGGTTTGTATATGTAAAATATATATATAACACATTACGATTAACAATGTGTAATAATAGGCTTGATTACCACATACTGAAATCATAGATCATGATTCGTAAAGACTAATGTTTTTATTAGAACTAAAACCACCTAAAACCTAGGGCTAAACCTAGTCATTATCTAGAATACAACGTGGACATCCTTTTTTTAACATTTCTTATAATAAGGTAATGTGTTATTTTTGCAGCTATAACTAGCTGCAAAAATAACTTATATTGCTTAATTAAATTAAAAATAACTTAATTAACACACAATAACACGACAACTTAATTTCTAAGCCTAATCTATCAGCAAAAAGTAATTATTGCATATTACTTAAGGTAGGTCAGGAACAAATGTCACAAAGTTAATATGCAATAGGGGCATTATCAGCAGTTTCTATTTAAATTGTCTTTCAGATAATTATAAAACATACTGGGACTCTAAAACACTATATAAGCATGTCGTGTTGAAATCATACATCATATTGTACATTGAAAGCTATGAGCAAGTTCATTATTTATAGTGCTATCTTCACTGTGATTTTTAATGAAGGTAAATTTGTAACTTATTATAGCAGAAAAAGTTTTTTTTATCTTTTAACGTTTTCACAGTTTAAATGAAAAACCCATGACTTATTAATTTTATTAGCGATCAGATACTTAGTAAATAAACTATGCTATATGGATATTTAAAGATGTGTGTTACACATGATAGTAGAAAGAGTGTTTCTTATTAGACTATTTAGCATAAAGTCAATAATACTTCTATTGCAGCTGTTCCATGATAGAACGTTTCTTATTGTGAACTTGTACACTAAAAACACTTTTTACACCTCGTAATTTGAAAGTATTTAATCGCTATACTGAAGTCACATTATGTTTTATGAAAGTAATTAAATAACTCAATCATAATATCTATCTTTCAATAACATAGCACAGCAATATTACATTAAGTATATTCATATAATGGTTGAAATCTACACACTCACATAAATATGTTAAATACCATTTAATCTAAACCTATCAGTATGATGTTGCCCAAGTTAGTGTCGATGTAAAAAAAGAAGAAACCACAATGACCTGAATGAGTTGAAATGTAAACGCATAAGTATTGTTATTATATTAGGTCTTTACCTATGAAGTTGGAGATTTATATGAAAATCTTAAACTAAAAAAAATTTGGTTATTTTTTAATAAAATCTATCAAAATATGTATTCAAAATCAAAGTCTGAATTTTAAATAAAACTAAACTGGCTTTCGAATATTTTTTATTAATTAATTACTTCTGAAAATGCTGGTTTTTAAATGTCCAACAAATGTCTAAATATTCTTGTAGAGGTATTGATCTGTTCAACTGTGCCATCATCAGCCTTTAATTGTCCGCTGCCAGACGGTAGGGTTTATTTTAAGTTTTTCTTCTCTTTGCAGTGCTATTGTACTGCGTAGTTAGCTCCCTAATTCGGAATACTCCACGAATAGGGGTGATGACACTCGGTATTCTTAATCCGTCACCACAATATTGTGTTCAACTGTATAAATTAGCAAAATAAGAACCATTTGCTTCCAACCTTGCTTACCATTCGAGTTTCCTCACTTAATGATATCCTAATGATGTATTTTATTCCCACCCTGTTCTATTGTTGTCACTAAAATTAAAAAGCTTGGAGATAATTTTATGCTGATAATAATTTAGACCACATGCTAATTAACCATTAAATCGTTTTATTGTTAAAAAAATTAATTATCAATGACGAAAAATCAAAATTGAAAACCTTGAAAATATAAAACATGACATTACTTCAGTAGTGCTGTTCAACAACAAATTCTCACAGCTTAAGTATGACTCTGTCATGCCTCCATAGTATCAAAACCGTAGGCATGGCTTTGTCACAAAAGACGGAACTCATACAGTATGGATACAATGACAACATGTGTAGGTAAACTAGTGCAAACCGTGCTGTGCAAACTTCGAAATGATTTGAAAGCTTATAATGTCATCATATCATTTACAGAAGATGTACTTTTAACCGTAGAATTACTTGCACGATTCTATAAACGGTTTTTAACTTCACTAGAACCTAATTATTTAATAATTTTAAATTTAATTTAAAATTAAATGAAATTTAAATTAAATTAAAATTAAAAAAAAAAAAAAATCCCTAATTTTTATTTTTTTATTTTTCCCTAATTTATTTTATACGAAATTAAACATAAGTGTATCACGGAAAAATATAGTGATGGTCTAAAGCGTATCTAATAATCTCACAAGCAAAGTCGTGCATAACAAAACCGACCAGTCCAATCTCCAGCACTTCTGCATTACCTAAATAGGTTTAGTTATCCAGCTTATGGGCATGACGTTGCGTGTAGCTGTAGTTGTACTTTATCTTGTTGAATCTATTAATCAGAATTTAAGAACTTCTAGAACTACCCTAGACCTACTCTTTGTTTTAATATGGTTATCATAGTCCAAAATTGTGCTTTTACGGAGAAAAAAATAATTAAAAATTTATTCTTAAATAAAAAAAATATTTTTTTTTAATAAGATCACGATTCTCATATGCTTTATAAATAAATATAAATAATGCTTTACATGTTAAGTGAAAAGATAACCAAAAAGCTACAATATGTGCACATCATGGGTATGTTGAGTCAGTTTTACAGCATAGAATTATCTTCTGTGGAAACTCTACTGGTAAGGAGCGGGTATTTCTATTACAAAAGAGGCCTATACGGGCAATATGCCATTTGCAAAAAACAGATTCATGTAAATCAAATTTTATACGTTTGAAGCTACTTACATTTCCTTCAGTATACATATTTGAAGTTGGTAAGTTTCACATCACATCACATCAACAGCCTTTAATAGTCCACTAGTCCGCAAAATTTTGGAAAAAGTAATAGTCGGTAGGTGCAAGGTCTGGTGAGTATGGCGGATGAGGGAGAGCTTCCAACCCCAGCTCTTGCAGCTTGGAGACTGTCTGTTGCGCAGTATGGGGTTGCGCGTTGTCGTGAAGGAGCAGAGGGGACGACCGATTGACCAAAGCTGGTTGCAGATGTGACCACCAGACCTTGCACCTATAGTCTAAATTTTGGAAAAAGTAATAGTCGGTATACCGACTATTACTTTTTCCAAAATTTAGACAACTTTTTAGTGGGTAGAAAATTCAATTCCCGAGAGGCAGTCCAAAATGCCTTTGAAGAGTTTGTTGCCTCCCGTCCAGCTGATTTTTACAACAAGGGTATCAATAAACTGCCAATGCGTTGGCAAAGATGCGTCGATTGCATGGGTGATTACTTCGAATAACAGAAATAAAAAAGATTGAAAAAATAAGTACTTTCACTTATTGCATACAAAACGGCAATTTCATACGTAAAGACCTATTATTAACTAGAGTAACTTCATTCTGCTTCTATTTTAGGTGCTAAAAGTTATCACAAAATCGGACTTGATGACGGCAATGATGAAAAGATAGTCGGTGGTGAGGAAACAACTATTCCAAACCATCCATACCAAGCGTTTTTAAAGCTGTACGACGGTGAAGATTACTATGGATGTGGTGGATCTATTGTTAGTAAATATTATGTAGTGACTGCAGCACACTGTTTAGCGAGGTACGTTTCACGTTCTGTTTTATGTCCTTCTTGTTGGTATTTTCTATTCACTGGTAACAATTAGCACTAAATAACAAAGGCTTCATAGGTTGTTGGTTTCATTGAAAATAATATTCTATTTGTTTTTATTATCAATCATCAATAGCCTTTAATAGTCCTGGACATAGGCCTCTTCTAAAAAGGTTTTGGCCTACTACTCATATTTCACGCTGACCAAACGGGTTGGTTAAGGGTTTCCTTCAAGTTTTCTTTCTCTTTGCATAGCTGTTGTACTGCGTAGTTAGCTCTTTTTTTTCTTTCTTAGAGCTTTTTTAATCCCATCCTTAACATCTTTTATAAAACTTACTACCTTCTACTCGTTTGAAAGACGATTATAGTATTTTTATATTTGAGAGTAATTTTTGATTAAATACTAATGGGTGTGTTTTTACATTTTTTATATGTGGTCCTAAGTTCAAACTATTAAAGTCTAAACCGATTTTAGTAAATAGTATAGTACGACTGTTTCTTTTTTTTAATAATAATTTTAATTTATTTTTCTTTCAATTTTTTTCGAGTGTAAGAGTATCGGTATCAAAGTAAAGAGTTTCATAAAATAAATACTAAAATATATATCCAACGTATCTGTCAAAAGTTTGTTATTTTTAAAACATTCTTATTTATTAAATGCACCAACCTTTTAATTATTCCTGATATCACGATAAAAAAAAATATTGTTATCGTGTTATTATACAATACGTAAATAACTTTATTTGCAGAATGCAGAAAATTTACCTTAGAATTGGCAGTACCCAGAAATATTCTGGAGGCACTGAATATGAGACAACGACGTTCTATTCTCATCCTCGTTATAAAAGTCCCGATTTTGACTACGACGTTGGGGTTGTCAATATACCTAAGGGGATGGACTTGGATGGAACTAAAGCCAGCACAATACGTTTAGTTGGTTTCGGCAATGATCCGCAAGACGGTGAGGACGTTACTCTCACTGGTTGGGGTGACACCGCCGTAAGTTGTTTTTTCATTTCCCTACACACGTAAGCGTATCCAAGATTTAAAAAAGTAATCATGTCGTAAAAAGTAATCATGTCTAATATTCGTTGAAATTAATTAAGTCAGATATAACTACTGACATGACTTATAAATAGATATAATAATTTTATATTATAACCCAATGTTTCTACCGTAGTGGCCTATCCAAAAACAGGACAAGCATATGAGTCACGGCCTATTTCGGACGTGCGGTGGCATAACTTAACTCACTTGCCATATCGGTTTTCCTTTCCCTAATTTCTTCCCCAATTTCCTTTGTTCTTCGTCCTGTCCAAAAACAATTGCATTCTCAAGAAGAGTTTGCGTCAGGGTGCCTCCCTGTTCATAAAATATATTAATAAAAGCCCCTTGCAATATTACACAGTACGCCGATACCGCCGAAAACTATGAGTGATTACGAACATTCCTTATCATCATCATCATCATCAACAGCCTTTACTAGTTCACTAGTTTTGGCCTACTATACCACGCTGGCCAGACGGGTTGGTATAGGGTTTGTTTCAAGTTTTCCTTCTCTCTACAGTGCTGTTGTCCTGCGTAGTTTGCTTCCTTAGTCGCCTCTTACGACACCCACGGGATGAATAGGGGTGGTGACACTCTGTATTCTTAATCCGTCACCACACCTGATACCGATACCTGCATACTTTGTTTGCCTGGTGCATGGTGGTTAGATTTTCAAAACTTACAACTGTCAGTTGTGAATAAAAAAAATATCTCCTTATAGGAAAATGGTACTAGTTCTAATATTTTGAGGGTTGTTGAAGTACCAATTGTTAATCGAACGCGATGTAATGAGCTGCTGAATTATCGAATTACATCCAGGATGTTTTGTGCTGGTACCGAAGAAGGTGGAAAGGATACATGTCAGGTAAATAGTGTTTATTTAAATTATAGTAATGTACTTGTGATGAAGCTTCAGTATTTGTAAGTAGGCGATGTCTTTCATATAAAAGTTGGATTTAACCACTTTAATCAGACGTTTAGTCAAAAACACTATAAGCTTTTCTTTGAAATATTTAAAAAAGTGACCACACACTGTTTGTTTTACATTATAGGGAGATTCTGGTGGTCCAGCTGTTATTAACTCAAGCGGTCAATTAGCAGGAATAATCTCTTTTGGGTTTGGGTGTGGCCAACCAAATTCTCCCGGCGTCTACACCCGAGTAGGGAATATGGAGATAAGATTCTATCTAGCTTTATTTGGGCTGTAACAATTGTTTAAAATAAATAAATGAACTTAACAGTATGTTTTTTTTTTTTGTTTTATTGACTTTGTCATGAAATATTTCTGCATTAAATAACCACCTAATACTAGGAAGATTATAAGCTGTTTAATACAGAGATGATCACAGCCCATCGTCACCTCACCGGAACAGAAGGTAAGGTTATCTAACTGAATAAAACCACATTGCATTGGCCTTTTGCTGAGGTCTCAGGAGTATCTTAGAAAAGACATAGGTACATGTGAATCCCGATGATTTGGCCGCCTGTTGAGTAAGGCGACGCCACCGTTATATGCTAAGGGTTAAAGGGAACATGTTAAACCTGCTTCTGCTAGGGAGACAGACACATCATCAGGATCACCGGTGTACCGCACGATCTCCTTTGAGGCGGCGAGTCTCCTAGCCGGAACTCCACCGTGGGACCTGGAGGCGAGAGCCCTTGCGGCTCTGTATCAGTGGCGCAAGGAGGCGCGGGAGTTGGGTCGGTGTCCCGAGATTCGAGAAATCGATGACCGGAAATCCCAACTCCGCCAGATCATCATAGGAGTGGAGAGGGCATTGGAGAACTGGGCTGAAAGATTCGGCCTAGTTCTCCTAAACCGGGGGGCCGTGGCCACGGCGAGGGGTAGTTCGATCGTGGACATCTCGTTGCGAAGCGCGCTCGCTCGCAGGGAGCACAGGGAACATGGAGTTCCCACACGGGGGGGGGGTCGTCTACTCGTCTGTAGATGACCCGAGGTATGTCGGGGCACCAGGGACTTCCTTTCTAGGGTATACCTGGTTCCCCGGCTATTAGTACCCGAGACGGCGTGCGGTTTTAGTCGGTTCGTGTCCGACATGCCACCGACAGTTGGTATCCGAGGGGATTTCCGCACGGAAAAAAAAAAAAAAAATGGGAGTGGAGAGAACGACTCGGGCAACCGAGCGCCGGGCACGCCGTCATCGCGGCGGTATGACCCGTTATGGAGGATTGGCTCGAGAGGCGTTACAGGACCCTCTCATACCGACTGACGCAGGTGATCACTGGGAAAGGATGTGTCGGGGATCACCTGTGTCTGATCCGCAAGGAGCCAACGCCCGAGTGCCACCACTGCAGTGGCCAGAACGTGGACACGGCTCTCCACAAGTTGCTCGCTTCCAGGGAGCAGAGGGAACATGGGGTTCCCACACGGGGGGGGGGGGGGGGGGGGGTCGTCTACTCGTCTGTAGATGGCCCGAGGTATGTCGGGGCACCAGGGACTTCCTTTCTAGGGTATACCTGGTTTCCCGGCTATTAGTACCCGAGACGGCGTGCGGTTTTAGTCGGTTCGAGTCCGACATGCCACCGATATGTGGTATCCGAGGGGATCTCCGCACGGAAAAAAAAACAAAGAAAAGGGAGACAGACACACAATTCCTATTATGTGTTCTAAAAAACAATGTCAATTGATCTCACACGTACTCTCAGCAAATCATCTTCAGAATTTCATTACGAAATAGACTACTGACAGTCTAGGAGCACCCAAGCGAGCGAGTTAACTTTTAGCCAAACATGGTTATTTTTTTACCCTAATTATAGTAAAAAAAAAGTGCTTCTTCAATCAGACGGACCAATAGGTACTTCATTTCGGCCTCTTCGAGTTACTGTAGTGTCAATCCCGTTTTCTTATCCAAGGCGCATGGTGTCTCCCACTCTCCCTCCTTCGGTCTACCCGTTTTTTACCCTATTTTACCTTCCTTATTTGTTAAATATCCGTGTGTTGATTAAGAATACGGAGTTTTATTAAAATACTTTTTTTTTGTAAATACCTACATAGTATACATGGAAAACACTAAACTCCGTAACCAATATTTGCAGATCATACAAACATTTGTTCATGCCCGGAAATCGAACCCAAGACCTTAGCTCAGCTGTAGCATACGCTACCACTGTACCACCGAGGCAGTTAAAATAAAATGTCCTAAAATATAGTTTATCTTAGCATTACATTCATTTTTAATAAAAAAAGTAAGATTTATTACCTTTTTTTGGATGCGGCGGAATAGAACCGTTTGGACCGACCCCCTTCAAGGGTCACTATACACTACACTACACCACTACACTTGAGGGGAGTCTATGGACAGCAGTCGACATCTTTTAGTTGAGATGATGATATTGCTATTAACTTTTTTACAAAAATATGTCACACCATATTCTTTACAACATAGTACCGCTAATTGCATTCTGTACGCATTGTTAACATCCTGTACTCATTAATGGGTATCCTTGACCATTATTCCTCATCATGGTGCTGAATTTACTCCGAAACTGAATGATGACATTAATGTTGAAAATGTTAGTCCAGAGGGTCCACTTAACTATTTGTAATTTTCGAAAATTTACTCTAGAACAGTTCTTGAATAATTATATATCAATGATTAGTATAGATTCTGGACCAGGTATAATAACATTCATTGTCACGTATAGATTGACATCGTGGCTAAGGTCACAATTATGAAACCTACATAGTTAAATTTGTAGGAATTTACATAACGCGTTTTAGGAAATACGGTTTGTTTATACCAAGCTAACACGAGTAGTGGCAACAGTGCGTGAAGTTAAGACAGTTTTGGTTTATCGCAACTAATTGTCTAGTTATCTGTATGGCAGTAAAAAGGTTTATCTTATTGTTTCAACCACTAAAGTGTTGGAAACGGTTAAAACCATGTTAAGTGGTTAGGAAACTAAAATTTTCCTAAAAATATTTAGCACTCACCTAGTTACGAAATGTAAAAATGTAGAGGATACAATACGAAAAAGAAATGATCTGCTACTCAAGGCAGCTAGGCCTAATATTATCTTTGCAATCTCACAATCGAGATGCGCAGTACGCAGTTTTTTTTTAAATAGTCTTCAATGCTCTATCACGAAGGGTATAAGTGTTAAGAAAAGGGTGTACACTGTTCCAACGATATTAGTATATTCATTCATATATGCATAATAATGAGTAGTTCATATAGCATTATGTTTCTACTGAGTAAATTCACATCTGATAGACTTGCCAAAAGCAGATTTTTTTTACATAAATTACTTTTTATTCCAAATCATAAATAGTTTTCTATTTTAATGAACCCTGGATATTTTCTACAAATACCATCAAAATGTGAACCTAATGACCGACGACCGATGCGAATGTTATATTATAAGAACATACTCAGAATATACCATAGAAGAATTATGATTATGTTATCAACTTAATCCAAATCTTGAGGTCAGTGTATTCAGCAATAAACAATCGTGAGATATGATACGAGTTAGATAACTGTCACGTTAATACGTTAAACGTGACTATTGCAGCGAATTGTTTTAATTGGCGTCAAGGGAATATCGCCTAACGTCTTATTGGGAGACACACGATCACGACACACCGCCTACGTGACACAAGGCTGTTATTTTATATTATGTCAGTCACTGAATTATACTTTATAGCTATTGAGAAAAAAATTAAATTGCGTAAGTTTTTTTACACCACAAGCATAAGCATTTCTTTTTTTGGGCTACGAACAATTATAGTTTTGTAGTTTTTGAGTGATTAATGTTTTATCAAATGTTGTACTCGTAAATATAAATAAATTACCTTTTAAAATCCCTACCTAAAACCTTTTAAAATCTTTTTAGAAAAACGAATACTAATAACAAGAGGCAAAACCGAGATGCGCTTGAAACTTTCCATTTGTCAATCTCTTTACCTTGAAAAATATTCTATTTATAAGTTATTTGTTAGAATATTGAAATCTAGATTGAAATTTTACAATTCAACAAAACACTTTTTGCTCTGAAAATAAGTTAAATAAAACTTAAACTCAAATACGGTGAGTGATTTTGTGGTTCATTGCAGATAAACATTGTATTGTATTCAAATTTCGGATAGATGTCGTATTTAAATAGACGAGAAAAAAATTTACTTGGGTGACAATTGCAGTATCAGTAAAAAACTAAGCGAACATCAATGAATGCAAAACCAATTTGGCTGAAATGTGAGTTATGTATATTTTATTGTCTTCATAAACTTTTTTTTTGTAATATTTTAAAACTCTGAACATTCCGTACTCACTTTATGTATCATATCGTCTTAAGCCAGCTCTTCGACTAAACCTTTATAAAAAGAAGGTAAAAACTCGTAAAATACGAGAAACCGCATTGAAAATAAAATACGAGGGCATTTCCTACATTTACTTAATGGATTGGTACAACAAATCTTAGTGACATTTGGCCCATCTATATCGCTATATATTTTTGAAGAGGGTATGCGAAGGGAAAAAATTCATTTCATTCAATACATAAATTCTGGACTAAATATATAGAAATAAATATATATACATAGTATCTATGTATTATTATGTGAAAAGATTCCTTTTAAGCAATTTTCGTAGACGTAAATATTCGAATTTAGAAGAGGTGCAGAAAGCAAAATTCTTTAATAAATACATAATAAAACTACATGCCCTGACTGACTGACTCATTAAAGCATAGACAAAACAGCAGAGGCTAAAAACTGGAAATTTTGGTTGCTAATACTTTTTATGATGGAAGCACTCACTAAAAAAGATTTTCTGAAAATTTCACCTCTAAGGGGGTAAAATAAAGGATGAACGGTTGTATGGAAGTTCGTCATTTACAAAGTTTGAAACACGAAATAGGATTAACACGGGAGTGTAAAAATAGTGAGTTTAATATATATTAATAACTTCCGTACGGAATTTAAATATTTATAGTTGATCGGTCAGGAATTAAATAATAGTCATAATTGGCGGTGGATCTGATTGGACAGAGCGCAATAAATAAAAATCTATGTAATGGGGTTAGATGATAAACTATATAATTATTTCGTCGAGTTTTGTAGATTTCACTATCACACAGGTCATCTACTAATAGATATTACCTATACCTAAGCGTGAACTAATTTGCACAATAATTTCCTGCGACATAGTGGTGTGATAAAACCATATCATTTCAACATATTTCAAAT